TTTTTCTTCTTCTTTTTTGATTTTTCTTCTTCTGCCAGTTATTAGAAAAAAAAAAATAAAAACAAAAACAAAACGACGATTCGATGTTGTTTTAAATTCGGGACAAATTCAAACTCGAAAATTTCAAACTACGTAGTATAACTGTTGTCAAAATTATAACAATCATGCTTTCAATGCACAAATATTATATTTTGGCACAATCATTTTTTTCGCCACATGCCGACACTACCAATGTGGTGCGCTTAGTCTCTCATGAAATTGAGTTTACCCAGCGTCAGACAAAAATGAAAGCTAAAAATATATTTTTGAATTTTAAAAAATATTGTCACTTATAATTTTTCTACTTTTGTTCATACTTTTTCACCTACTTTGTATTTTTGTGAATTCTTTTCTGATTATATATACATTTTTTATGCTTTTGTGGAGTTTTCATATGTATGTTATGTATGAATATATATATATATATATATATATGCATCCATTCAAGTTTGGTGATTTTATTTATTTATTTATTTTTTACGACAATGCTATGTAGTTCAAATTTTGTGGCTCAAAAGTAGCTCAAATGGTCAAAATGACGTCGTTTTGAGTACAGAACAATATAAAAATGGCCAAAACGACGTCATTTTGACCATTTGAGCCACTTTTAAGTCACAAAATTTGAGTTACGGGACATTTTCTTTAAAAAAATTAAGGTAAAATATAATTAAAATAGAATTTAATAACGTGCTCAATTCTGCCTAATCCACGCTGTTTCATCCAATAATTAAGGATTGATTTGACTAGTGGATTAAAATTTACAAAGATTTTTGAAAAATAATAATTTTTTAACAATTTTAATTTAAAATTAAAGTGTGATTCAACCGCTGGTTGAAGTTGGTTTGAGTGGTTTTGTATTATCTCAAGTGAGAAGATTACAATATAAAAATAATGAGCCGAAATCATTGTATAATGAATAAGAATTGCCTCATAAAGTGGGCATAAATAAAATTAGGTTTAGATTTAGACTTAACCTTAGTTTGAAGAGGACCTAGACTTGTGTTTATGCTTGTGTTGGGTTTGGTCTTGAATTTAGACTTAGACTTAGACTTAGACTTAGACTTAAATAGTTTGTAATTTTTCCAGTTTCACTTTTTCAAGTCATCTGTCAACTGAATATGCTCCATTTTAGTAGTCATCTTGGGCATGTAATTGATCATATATATGTATATGCATATCTTAGCTTGGTGGCGGGTTATTGATTTTGCTAAGATAAGAGGCTTTTTTTCCATAATTTTAGCTTGCTAAATTTATATCAAGGTTTTGCTTCAAGGTTGAGGCCTCACCTGTTGGTCATGTAATGAAATCTCAATGGATAAGCATTCTATTTCACATTTAATTCACTAGAGGAGCTAAATTTTATTTATTTTTTCTTTTTATTTTCGACAAAAGTGCTTCCCAATACTTTGGTTCTTCTATGTTGTGTGCTTTAGGATGATTCATGTAACATTTTTCATTTCAAATAGCTTTGGGGAGTTGGTCTAACCAATTTCTTTTGTTTATACTTGAAATTGGATTTACTCTTTTGTTGTTCTTATTGCAATAATGCTCTACATATTTTTCTGCATTTCAGGCCCTTAATACACTTGGCAGTACCAAATGGAGAGTAAATAAAAGGGTTCTTCGTATTATAGACAGAATATGGGCTAGCATTTTGATAGCAATTTGGTAGAATATCACATAAGACTTTATTAGTTTACATCACAATAAATTAACTGTGGTTTCAAGATCTGAGGGAATTTAATTGGGTGCATGAATATTATATAGATATGGTTTGCGTGAACTTCTCATTATGGTCTTGCTTTTTAAGTTATTCATGTATAGGAATGGTTTGGCTGATGGCGGTTCATTATATATATAGTATGGTTTGTCTATGACATTTTTCTGCTTCTTTTATTTTTTTCATTACCACGTGTCTCATTTGTCTATAACATATATCAAGTTTTTCTGTATCTTGATATAGTGACTTATTAATGCTTAATAATTATTTATTGAAATCATTATCAGTTTCAAATGTATTTTTAATTGAATTATAAGATAGGCGATAAATTTATTTTATTCCTTTCCTCCAATTCAAAACAGTAGGTATGATTTAACTAATGTGTTTTTTTAGTTTTTTTTTCCCAGTACATATAGTTTGTTCCATTGTTTGTTAGTTTCATTTTTTATTATGAACATGGGGTTGTTTGTTTCATTTTTTTTGGGAATGTTCCATCGTATTTTCAATGTGTTGGGTTAATTTTACTTGATAGTTAGTATAAATTGTTGATTAAATAGTTTTTTTTTTTTGGGATTTGGTGATAGACCCCTCACTGTCTAATTTATCTTTCAAAATGACAAGAATTATATAGGAACTTTCAAAACTCCCTAATATTTTAAAATTTGTTTCTTTACTATATTACTCTCATATTTATCAACTCTCCTATTAAGTCATACTCACAGTATATTTTAGAGTAAACTTTACTCTGATTCAGAGTAAAATTTTTACTCTGAATCAGAGTAAAGTTTACTCTAAAATATACTGTGAGTATGACTTAATAGGAGAGTTGATAAATATGAGAGTAATATAGTAAAGAAACAAATTTTAAAATATTAGGGAGTTTTGAAAGTTCCTATATAATTCTTGTCATTTTGAAAGACAAATTAGACAGTGAAGGGTCTATCACCGAATCCCAAAAAAAAAAAACTATTTAATCAACAATTTATACTAACTATCAAGTAAAATTAACCCAACACATTGAAAATACGATGGAACATTCCCAAAAAAAATGAAACAAACAACCCCATGTTCATAATAAAAAATGAAACAAACAAACAATGGAACAAACTATATGTACTGGAAAAAAAAAAAAAAAACTAAAAAAACACATTAGTTAAATCATACCTACTGTTTTGAATTGGAGGAAGGGAATAAAATAAATTTATCGCCTATCTTATAATTCAATTAAAAATACATTTGAAACTAATAATGATTTCAATAAATAATCATTAAGCATTAATAAGTCACTATATCAAGATACAGAAAAACTTGATATATGTTATAGACAAATGAGACACGTGGTAATGAAAAAATAAAAGAAGCAGAAAAATGTCATAGACAAACCATACCTATATATATAATGAACCGCCATCAGCCAAACCATTCCTATACATGAATAACTTAAAAAGCAAGACCATAATGAGAAGTTCACGCAAACCATATCTATATAATATTCATGCACCCAATTAAATTCCCTCAGATCTTGAAACCACAGTTAATTTATTGTGATGTAAACTAATAAAGTCTTATGTGATATTCTACCAAATTGCTATCAAAATGCTAGCCCATATTCTGTCTATAATACGAGAAGAACCCTTTTATTTATTCTCCATTTGGTACTGCCAAGTGTATTAAGGGCCTGAAATGCAGAAAAACATGTAGAGCATTATTGCAATAAGAACAACAAAAGAGTAATTCCAATTTCAAGTATAAACATAAGAAATTGGTTAGACCAACTCCCTAAAGCTATTTGAAATGAAAAATGTTACATGAATCATCCAAAAGCACACAATATAGAAGAACCAAAGTAATGATACCCAAGGATCTCAAACCTCAAAAACAGGTTCTCATTGCTTTTTTGGAGTCCTTTTCTGTTCCTAAAATGCAGAAAAAATTTGTAGAGCATTATTGCAATAAGAACAATAAAAGAGTAATTCCAATTTCAAGTGTAAACATAACAAATTGGTTAGACCAACTCTCCAAAGCTATTTGAAATGAAAAATGTTACATGAATCATCCTAAAGCACACAACATAGAAGAACCAAAGTATTGGGAAGCACTTTTGTCGAAAATAAAAAGAAAAAATAAATAAAATTTAGCTCCTCTAGTGAATTAAATGTGAAATAGAATGCTTATCCATTGAGATTTCATTACATGACTAACGGGTGAGGCCTCAACCCCGACACACCATGACAATTTTTAGTTTTCTCTAGGCTAATGAATCTAGTGAGGCAAAACCTTGATGATCTGTATTGTACTAAGATAAGAGGATAAAATTATGGAAAGAAATCCACTTATCTTAGCAAAATCAACAACCCCACTAAGATAAGATACGCATAATGAATTACATGCCGAAGATGACTACTAACGTGGAGCATATCCAACTGACAGAGTGCTTGATCACTGTAAGGATGTCAAACCTTGCTTCTTTGGAGTCCTTTTTTTACTGCATCCCGTTGTTGTTTTGCTTGCTAGTTCACAGTCGATTAGCAAGAAAAAACATTAGCAAGCCAGAAACTGTTTGATTAGCAATTCAAAAACTTAGGTAGTTCCTTTTCAAAAATTTAGAAAATGAAATAAGGGACTATTTCGGAAGTTAACAATCGACAAGGGTTTTTTTTTGGCAAAAGAGATTCCCCAAAAGCACCACATAAATCAAACCCAACAATATAAAATGAAAATAAATCATTTACCCTAATCAATCAGATAGAGAGATACAAACTAGTTCACAGAAGCTGTTTGATTTGTTACCCAAAAGACAACTTAAGAGGGGGGTGAATTAGGTTTTTACAATTAAAATTAATAATACCCTAATAAAAATTATGACTAGCACAATAGATAAATATAATTAATGAAATAAAAATAATTAAAACAAGTGTCTTAACAACTATGTCAGTTAATGATTTTAGCACAGTAAAAAATGTGAAATATAGCTATGGCAATTTAAAATAAAATAAAGAGATAAGGAAGAGAGAGGCAGACAAATTTATAATGGTTCGGTTTCAACTCAGCCTACGTCCACTCCTCAAGCTTCACTTGAGATTTTCCACTGTCTTCTAGCTTCACAGTGGTGCTAGCAACCTCTTTACAAATGGAGCAATCCTCCACGAATTTTACACAGACTTCACAAGCCCAAACCCTTGCAAATCTTAGATGATTCACAATCAATCTCAAGATTTCAAGAACACAGTGTTTGCAACACTTTTACAAGATGGAAAGGTATTTTTGCTTTCAAAGAAGTTTACAATAAATATCTCTCAAAGATAGATATATAAAATGAAACTTTGATTTTTTTGTAAATCTCACACAGGAAAGATGAGCTTAATGCTATAAGGCTCAGTGTATAATTTATGAGAATAGATGTGAGTGATTATAGATCAAAGAACATGTTCAAATTTTTTTGTAACTTGTTTACATTAGAGGCTTTGGTATATATAATGAAAATTATAGCCGTTGTATTCATTTGAATTTATAGCCATTTATAGTCGTTGTAGTCATTTGAATTATAGCCGTTGTACTTCCATCATTATCAATTTGAATATCTTCCACTCCATCATTACAAATTTGAATATCTTCCACTCCATCATTACAAATTTAAATATCTTCCACTTGACCCTTTTGAACCTTTTGACCTTTTGAACCTTTATAGCCGTTGTACTTCCATCATTACTAATTTGAATATCTTCCACTTGAACCTTTTGAACCTTTTGGCCTACTGCTGTGCTAGGCTATTTGAACCTTTGTTTTGGGCTGTTTGAACTCCTGATTTAATCAAATATTAAATACATTCTAACAATATTTAGGATAAAGGTTTAGGTGAGAAATAATGGGACAAAATAAATTTTGATTCTATTTTTCTCTTTCAAATAAATCATCAAAATAAATTTTGATTAAAATATAATTAAATAAATCATCAAAATAAATTTTAGATTTTATTTTTCTATTTCAAATAAATTAAAACATAATTAAATAAATCATCAAAATAAATAAGTCTAACATGATTAGCAAGCCAAAAAATTAGATAGAGAGACAGAGTTAGCAAAATTACTATTAAAGGGTTTTGACACATATGTATAGACACAAATAATATGCAAAAAACTGATTGCCTGACAAAATCAGTTTGTGTACAATCAAACCCATTTTAAACGTAGTTAAACAATCAAACCCAGATAAACAGGTTATAAACTCAGATAAACTTGGATAAACAATCAAACCCAACCTTAGGTTATAAAGACGATAAGAAGATCAAAAATTCTAGGGAAACAGAGAGAGAACAGGAGCGAGCAAAGAGGGAGGGTAGGAAAGAAGGACAGAAAGGGAGAGATAGATAAAGCCGAGTTGAAGAGGCAGAAATCTTACCTTGCGAACCGAGATTAGAGAGCAGCATCGGGAGCAAGCGAAGAGGGGAAGGGAGGAAGAAGAACAGGGAGGGAGAGAGAGAGAGAGAGATAAAGAGGGAATGAGGAGGAGACGTGGATGAGAACAGAGAATGAAAGAAAGATAAAGATAGAATGGAGAGAAGACGTGGGTAGGTGGAAGCCTGATATTTGGATGGAAGCTACATAGACCTGAGCCATTGATATATACTCATGATTGATATAGACCATTGATTTAAAATGTATCTATGATACATTTTATATATTTTCAAAAATCGTATGTTTTATTATATAGAATATATATCGTTGGGTGTGCCACGGCATTGGACAGTGATCACGTTGTGTTACCGCCACCCCTTTCCCGCCAAAACCCCTGATTTCATTACAGCATTACACTACCACTCCCTCATCCATCGATCAAGAAAAGAGTGCGATTTGATTAATTTGGTTGGAAATTCGATTTCAATTACGTGAACAAAGAGTTGAAAGAAGTTGAAAGGCTGGCTGTTGAGTTCTGCTGCTGCTAGGGATTGCGTTCTTAGTTATTTTTGTTGCCTTTCAAGTTGCAAACAGGAGTCTCATCTGAGGTTTCACATTCTTTGTTTAATTACATCTCTTTCTGTATGCCCGTGGTTTTGAATTTTAATCCACATTTTCTCTGATTCATATGGAAACTTCTTTGAGCTTGTATTCACAATTTGGGTTTACAAAATACCTGTTTACCAATCAAGCATGCAATAAAATTTCCCTCTTTGAATCTGTATTTACTGAATTTAATTTTTGTTTGGTTGAAAGATTTGATGGGAGAAATGAAAAGGAAAAAAGAAATGCAATTTTATTTTTTGTTTGGTTATAATGAAAAACACAACGGAAAAAAGTGAGAGGAAAATATAATTCACTTTTTATCTTTTAAGTTCATTGCCAATTTTTGGAAGTAGGTGAAAAGTAATTTTTTAATTTTTTTTTAAATGTATAAAAAAATAGAGATGATGTGAATTAAAAAAGCAAAAAAAAAAAAAAAATTTTAACCAACTTAACTTTTAACCAACTTGTCACAATAGTCTTTTTTTTATTTTTAAACTCAACCAAATATAACTTGAAATTTGAATCGTATCAATTCTTTTCCATTTTCTTTCTATTTTCCTTTCTTTTTCCATTTCCTTCATCAAATTTTTCAATCAAATACAATTTTAGGGTTCCAACTTCATTAGAGAATTGAAAGATTTAGATTGTTTTAACTTAAAAAATAAGAACCCACTCTCTCCCTTTTGTTTTTATACGCTTGCCCTGGATTTATACATACATATATAATATCTATTATTTAAAAGTTAAAACACACAATATGCATTAGGTTGTTGTATAGTATAAAATCTATATATTAATTAGGTATTTTAGTTTTTCTTTGAGTACTTCTAATTTTGATTTTTTCTTCCAGATTTAATCTCTTTTTGATAGAATTTTTTGCATTTACATTTGGATTATTGTTCAGACAATCAACCCGAGTTCCTGATCACTTGAAAATGGGACTTGCTTAGCTTAAGCACACATACATTGAGCTCCTCAGATATCTCTCTACGACTACAAAGAAAACAAGTTGTCGAACTGGCATGAGCTCAATTTAATAAACAAACCGAGCACGAGCAATGTGTTTGTTCATTTCATAAGTGAACCGAGCACAAGCTCAATTTTTGGGTTTGCCTAGTAAACGAGCCAAGCTTGCGAGAGCAACATAGAGCTCTGCTCATCTGTAACCTTACATATATTTTTATTTTTATCTTCTTTTTTTTGGGGGGGGGGAGTAAACATGATTTTCTACTGTAACAGAAAGAAAAGTAAAACAAAATAAATATATCAAAACATAATTATTGCAAATTTGCAATATTGGATATAGTTATTTGTTTTTGACATTCTTCAAAAGATTAAGCTTAATTATTGTAACAAACAATGTGAGTAAGCAGACGCGATGTCCACAACTTCAAAATATCTCGCAGTTCTTTTCTCTGACTTGCGAGAATCGTCTACCAACAATATTTTGTGGTTTTTCTGTCCAAATACAATTTGTATATTCCTGAGGCAACACTAACAAAGAATGGTGCTTACACCTAAACTATAATTTGAAGTTAGAAATGTATAATATCTAGACTTACAGAGAATTGGCTTTTATGGAATGGTTTGATTGGGTGAACCAGAAGCCTGCACCAAATATAAGCGACAACACGGTGTTCCATCATCAGGGTGAGTTTGGAGTGATCTGGGTAAGCTTCGAAGCTTGTTGAACAGGTTTAGTGGATCATGTAGCAGACCAAAATGAGCATTGGGATCACCAATTTGTGAAAGCTTAACATCAGAAAATCCTAGGGATGGCAGGAGATGATCGGGCCAATCACTATAGAAATGAAAAACGGAGCTGGAGAGTGTGGTCGATGGCTTGTTCATGAAGTCTGCTAAGAGGACTGTCTGCGTAAGAGTGCAATTATTAGCTATGATCTTCAATACTTCCATGGCATGTGAGTGGGAGAGGTAGTAAAGAATGCCTTCGAGAACCCAGACTGTATTCTTCTCTGGGTCAAATCCAAATATCTGAAGCTTTTGAAGCCACTCTTTGATATCAGCTGCCACTCTGTTCAGAGACTTTGCTGTCATCATCACATGTTGATGATCATTTGTTGATTCTGTATGAGATCAACCCAAATTGAGTTGGCAGCCACATGGAAGGGTGTCCAACCCACATGGTAAAAGGAAGGCAAAAGAGGTTGCCATGAGTTGGCAAGCCATGAGGCTTGAGTGAGTTGGCAGCCATGAGGCTTGCCATGCGCCAGCAACAAAGGAGAAAGCATGGAGTTGGCCATGTGAAGTCTTCACATGTGGGAAAAAGTTTCAAACTGGATCAGCAGCTCAAAGGAAATTATTGGGCTGGCAAGCCAACACACCCATGAGCCTCCTCCACCTTCTGTTTTTGGTGTATAAAATGGAATGGTGATGGTGAGTTGAATACACGGCAAACATAGAAAGCAAGAGAGAAGAACACACTGCTGAGAGAGAGGCACAAAACAGAGAGAGCTATGTGAGAGCTATATCTGTTTGTGATCAGAGGAGTGTGAAGAGAGTGTGTTTATATAGAGAGACAGTGAGGTTGAGAGTGTGTATCTCCTTCCATTTGTTAATATACTAACACATCGCTCCCGTGGACGTGGCCGGTTTGCCGAACCACGTTAAAAGTCTTGTGTTTTTGCTTGTGAGTGTCCCCTGGTGTGCCAAGATCGCCAACAATTGGTTCAAGAGCCGGGTGGAAAAAATCGAGAGTTTTTTCCGAAAGTGTCCCAGATTTCGAAGTGGTTCGAAAAATGCACTTTTGAGCATACCAGGAGGAAGTGTCAGGAGAATAGGATCCAAAAGCTTCAAACCAACAGGCCACATCGGACCTCTAACGTGCCGCCACGCGCCACATGAAGATCGAGAGTGAAGGTCCACTCGCACCACGCGCCCCACGCGCCGACGACAGGAAAAGGAAGACGAGTGGGGCGCGCCGTGAAGCTGACGTCAGCTGACGTCAATCCTGACCGAGCCGAGCCGTCGAGCCGTTGACCGCGCCGCTGACCAGGCGAGCGCGCCCAGAGCCGCGCCGCCAGCCAAGCCGCGCCGCTGAGCCGCGTGACCGCACCGTCCCTGCGGCCGTGACCGAGCCGCTGACATGGCCGTTGACCAGCCGATCCGGAGCGAATTAATCTGGATGCTTCTCAGGCGCAAACCAGATTCAGCAGATCTGAACCGTTGGAAAAACTGTTTTTGGCTAGTCTAGGCCATTTCGGAGTCCGTTTTGGCAATCCAATAGTTGAGTTCCAACTATTTGGGAGTTATTCCGGACACATCCTTTACGGTTAGTTTTGAATCAGAGGCATTCAAACTCTTTTGGCTAAGATCTAGGCCATTCGGAGTCCGTGTTTGGCAGATCCAATAGTGCGTTCCAACTATTTGGAATATTCCGACCCATCCTACGGTCAGATTCTTAAATCGGAATTTCTTTAAAAAGGGAAAAATTTACCAATGGCAGGGAAAAGGCGCAAGTTTCATGATTGAGCCTTTTAATGCAGTAATAACTTACCCCCTGTGGCAGCAAAAAGGCGTGGAAAAAACATTTAACACCGAGAAGGCTGGTGAAGGCTCTTCTCAAAAAGTCAAAAAACCGGAAGACATGAAGGATGACAGTGGGAGGAGTTGAGGGAATTGGCAAACATACAATTCAGTTGTATCTCGGAACAACACACTCCGCGAAGTCATCAGGAATAGATCCTGGCGGAGCTAGGGCAAAGTTAGAGATGAGATACAAGTCAAAGTCTTTGACAAACCGGTTATCTCTGAAGAGGGTAGCTATATACACTTTTAGAATGCCAGAACGTGCGAACTCACAGAACATCCTGGACGAGTTTCAATTAGGATCACAATGGAATTGGACACCATTGAGACCAAGACCCAGGAGTAAAGATAGGGCTATATCTTGCTGGTCTCTCTACCTGCACATAATGAGCATCTAGGACAACTCATTGTACGGGAAGGATGCTCTTGGACTGGATTGAGGTGATTGCTACGCTCATTTCTCATGAGTCGATGGAAAAACAGGAAGGTAGCAGTAGCAAACACCCAGAAGGAAATGCCATGGGTATTGCCTTAGAAAATGAGCCAAGGGGGGGGGGGGAGGGGGGGGACAGAGGTAGTCCAATGATAGACGGGTAGAATTCTCTCTCTTT